AAAAAAAAAAAAAAAAAAAAGAAAGAGAAATTGTTGTATCAACGATTAATGCCATAGGAAGCAATTGTATGATAAAGGAGCTAAGGCCAATCGCGGGTAACAAACAACTGTTGGTGGAAGATCATTGGCGTGAAACAAAAAATACAACATTTATTACAGGCAAATCACGTTTGATTCTGAAGTTAAAAACAAAGATTTTTGAAAATAGCTATTGGTGAAGGTGGTTATTGTTATGTAATATGGTGTCCTTATGTACTTTTTTTTCTCCGATAAAACTATCAACATATTTAGCACACTTTTTTCTTCTGTTTTTTCTTTTTGTTACCTGTATAAATGTCAGTGTTTTTGCTGTTTTTGTTGACAGTGATAGTGGTGAAAATTTGGATTTTATTACAGTATTTTGATTAATCTAGTTGAATATTTGAAATGATAGCTGCTAAAATTTTAATATTAATTCTTTTAACATTACTTTAGATTTTGTTAACCTGTTTAAATATTGCTACATTTAAAATGTGTTGCTTCTAGTTGTTATGGTAACTTTAAAAAATTGCTTAATATTTGCAGACTGATAATGGACAATAAAAATTTAGCTTTAAATTACTGCAAGAAGTGCAGTAATTGTGCTTATTAACTAAGTAAAGTTTATTTGCAAATCATTGAAACACATCAAACATGTAGTCTGGAAAGTTTAATTTATCACTGGTTCTTATCATTTCAGTTGAATATCCACATTTAATAAGCCGAAAATGATAAGAAATTGGTGGACTAGTGGAAAATCACGACTTAAACTTGAGCCTATTGTGAACCTCAAACATCAGACTCGTGAACTTCCGGTAGCATTAAATCAATTAAAATGTTTGAAGTCGCTTTTCTAATTACATACTACTGTGAATTTTTGTTTTAAAATATAATAAGAAAATGACATGAAGTTTAGGATGGATCACGAATCAGTGAACTGCTTGAAACCGATGAATTAGTGCCGTATTTGCATGAAGATGCACGAACAATATATGATTCAGTGCTGAGAGGTCTCCGTTTATCCAATAACGGCCCGATGTTAGGATCCCGAGTGAAACAAGAAGATGGTAGTGAACCTTACGTTTGGCTTACATATCAAGAGGTTTTATTTAAATAAATTAAAAAGTATCTGTGGCATATGTAAAATTCTAAATCATATCAGTTTGATGACTAATAGAAATTTTTTGCGTTGATAAGATATCAAAAAAGTGAATTTTATTTATTCAGTGAATTATTTGAAATAGCTATTTTTAATGTGTCATAATGTATGTCGTTTAGGTGATTGATCGAGCAGATATTCTGTCGTATGGTCTAATTTCTCAAAATCTTCTATGTAGAAGAAATAACTACATTGGTCTTTTTGCCAAAAACTGTCCTGAGGTGACTGATTTTGCTTTTAAATTTTCTGAAAAAATTTTTTGCAGTCAAAGGTAAGTAAAAAACTAAGCTTTTTAATTTCGTTTTTTAGTCTCGGTTGTCTAAAATTATTTTTTCTAGACTTCTCTACCAAATTTTTTTTATTTTTTACTTATTTCAAAAAAACATCTTTTGGTAGTTTTGCGGTTTTCAGTGGATAATAGTAGAGTTAAGCACCTATAGAACTGGAAGTGTACTAGTTCCGCTTTATGAAACTCTAGGTTCTGATGCTCTCACATTTATTATAAATCAGACGGAGATGGAATTGATTTTTTGTGATACAGAAGAACGAGCAACAGGTTGGATACTCGGCTGTCTTAGAAAGTGAATTCTGAAATTGAACACTTTTAACCATAAATTTTTAGCTGTTTTAAAGAAGAAAAGTCAATGCCGTTTACTGAAGACAATTATTATTATGGAACAAATTTCAACCGAGTTATCAAGGATGGCAGTGAATAACGGAGTGGATATTCGCAGTTTTTCTTCTCTTGAAATCCTGGGAAAATCTCTTAGTCAAAAACCGTTGTTAAAGGTATGTTAACGTGTTGAAGTTCTTGCCACAATTTTTTGTTTTCAAAAGAACGCTTCTAACTGTAAGCATAGAAAGTGAACTGATTAGTGGAAAAAGCTAGTTCTTTAAGTCGTTCGAACTCAATTTATCAACTTCAAATAACACAACTAAAATTATAGGTACCACAACCTGAAGACGTATGCACTATTTGTTACACATCTGGCACGACAGGAACACCAAAAGGTGTTGTTCTTACTCACGCTAACGTTATTGCCTGCATGACTGCGCGCAGTTATGTTCGGAATGTTAACCTTAGCTGTAAGGTTAGTCTAATAATTTTCGCTGATGAAGAGCAATAAGAGGATCTTATTTCTCTTCTGTGCGGGGTACTTCGCTAATCATAATTCCATCTACTATTAATTTCGCATTATCCGCTCAAAATATACTGACTTAACGCACTTCTAGGATGTGGTTATTAGTTTCTTGCCGCTTGCACATATGTATGAGAGGATCATCGAATATATTTTTTACCAGTTAGGAGCATCCATTGGATTCTTTAGGGGGGATATACGTGCTCTAGCTGAAGATTTTAAAGAGCTTCGTCCTACTATTGTAGCACTCGTTCCACGGGTGCTGAATCGCGTTTACGATAAAGTTTGTTAATTTTTTTTTGTTTTCTGCGTTAAATAACTATATATATTTGAGTGTTGGGAAATCTGAAATTGTCTATTTGTTAATTTTTTACGTAAATATCGTTGAATTTGTGTATTTTAGGCATTAAAAGACTCTTAGTTTAAATTGAATAGCAACGGTTGTTAAAGTTTAAAAACAGTTAGTGAATATTTTGTTTTTTTGGTATCTTAATGAAACTTGAAACGACCCATGTTCTTTTTAATAAAAAGATGTGCGCATTTTATCAAGAAATTTTCATCTCAGTAATTAATATTCTAGGTAATGTCAGAGCTCAACAAATCATTCTTTAAAAAAACAGTTTTTGGAACAGCTTTAGCATTTAAGAAACGTGATATAAAAAAGTGAGTTTGATTTTCTAAAGTACGTCTTTCAAACGTAATTTAAAATGACTTGAAATCTAGTATTTAATTTTTCAATGTTTTATGCCACAAGTAGATATCAAATCTTTAAATTCTACAGCAGCCTTGGTAGAAATTGAGTATCTACGTGGCATCCCTTTTTTGCTTTTTAGTGGTGTATTACGGAACAATACTATCTTCGACAGATTAGTTTTCAAGAAGATACGCGAAGGTCTGGGTGGTCACGTAAAACTAATAATATGCGGCTCTGCTCCACTCGCAGAAAACGTTATGCGGTTTGCCAGAAGTGCTATGGGATGCGTGGTTTTGGAAGGTTATGGTGAGTAAACTTCCTCATACAGTTGAATTTTGAAACACATTAGGTTAAAATAAAAAAACTTTTCCTAATATTTATGTATTTAATGGTAAGGGTGAATTCTCTTTAAAAATTTGGCATCGATTAGACTGTTTTACAAGATTTAAGGCTTGACTTCCGTTCTAAGCCACATGCCCACTACCCTAATCTCAACCTCATTTCTTAAGTCCCCTTCGTCCCTTTTCATTTCAAAAAGGACTGCAATTAACCCTTTACTTTATTTACGGTTATATTTAGGTAAGAAAAAGTATAATATAAGTTTGGTTTTTTTTTTATTTGTACGTGTTCAGCAGATTGTCGTTCAGACATTGTAATTTTTTGAACTGTCGCTTTTAACCGGTTGCCATTATATACATTATTCTAAAGTAAAGCTTTGGTAACTTTTTAATGGTTTTTTTCAGGTCAGACAGAGTGTGTGGCTGCCTGTACTCTAGGGCTAGAAGCAGATTCCACGGCGGGACATGTTGGCATACCTAGCATTTGTAACGCAATTAAGTTGATGGATGCCCCAGAAATTGGATATTTTGCAAGCAATCAAGTAGGTTGCCAAGGCTGTTTAATTAGCATATGGTTGTTACCAGAAGATATAAGCTTTTCTTCCTTCACGTACTTTTAGGCAAATGCAAAGGCTCCATCTTCACAAAAAAAGTGTTTTTCAAACACGGATTTGTAAGGAAAACTGTTTATTATGTCAAATGTCAGCATTACTGTGATTTTAGGTAGGTGAAATCTGTATAAAAGGCTACAATGTATTCAAGGGGTATTTTAAGAATGAGTCATTGACCAAAGAAGTTTACGATAAAAATGGTTGGTTACACACCGGTGATATAGGTCAGTGGCTGTCGAACGGAACTTTAAAAATCATTGACAGAAAGAAGCACATTTTTAAGCTTTCACAGGTTCTATCACCTTTTCATATGTCAATTTTTTATTCTGCTGATAGATAACCTGTCCGAAACTGTCCAATCAAGTGCCAAAAAGGAAGTTTTGTCAGAAGTGAAAACCAGCTGAAAAATTTGTTAGATGTTGCCATTAGTGCAGGACTTTACAAGCAAACAACGAAAATTAAAGTTATGGATTCTATTTACAAACAAATAGGCTTCAGTAGTCTTCCGATACCAATTTCAGCAAAAAATAGGAATTCAACAGGAATAACCAGCGGTTGTTTCTTTCAGGGAGAATATATTTCACCAGAAAAGATCGAAAATGTTTATTTATTATCTAAATTTGTTTCACAGTTGTTTGTACACGGTGACAGTCTAAGAACAGCATTAGTTGGTGTTGTGGTGCCCGATCCAGAAGTAAATTTTTCCTTATTTTTATTTTGCACTAAATTTTCCCTTCTTCTTTTTGTTTACATAATAGCCAATTTTCAGTGTTTATCACGAGCTTTGTCTGAGCGTTGCAATATCAGAGGAAAATCTTTCAAGGAAATTTGTTGCTTAGTGGAGGCCAAAAAAATTTTATTTGAAGAAATGACTACGTTTGGTAAAAAAGCCGGGCTTTGTTCGTTTGAGCAGGTTATAAATTTCTCTGTTTATGCAATGTAACTCAACTAGTCGTTTCAGAGTTTATAAATAATGAGAACGAAATCAATTGTACAGTTTAAATTTGAGCAATATTACAAATACATAGGAGCTGACTTGTATCTTTCTGTATTTTTTTGTTTCCAGGTAAAAGCTATACATCTTTATCCAGAATTATTTTCTGTGGAAAACGGCTTACTGACGCCAACACTGAAGAATAAGAGACCAAATTTGAAAAAATTTTTCTCAACTCAGATACAAGAGATGTATTCCGATTTAACTTGACATATATAAACTTCTGTCCTCTCACCACTCGCCTTTTGTGGCTTGTCTTCTGCTTCCTCCTCATTTCTGTTCATTTCTGTTCCTTTATTTTTTTCTTTTAGTGGACTCTTTTTGCAGTATTTAGGACTCAACTTTCAAGCAACGCGCTCACTGGAAATACTAAACCTTTTGTTGGTTGTTGTAGTGGTGCTGTAACATTGTTGGTTTTTCTTAACCGTCGTTTTTTGTTTCTAATTTTAGCGGCACTTACATGGAAAACAGTAAGGGAGTTCAACAATGCTGTAAGTTAGCGGGCTTAAAACTGGATGGTAAATCTACTTCTTTCTGTTTTCCTTATTGTTGACGGGAAATAAGGTTGCCGATATTTCCTAACCTACTTTACAGTACCACTATTGTTCGTTAAAATTGTTTTTTCTTCCTGATTATTAACTACTGTTAATGTTCAAGGCTTTTCTTAAATCAGTGCAAATAAAATTCAACTATTTATTAGAAAGATACTTTCAAAAGACTTTGGGTCTTTTAAATTTACTAAATTCACTTGTCCGGAGGGAAGAAACTGCACCGATTTTTGTGGAATTCTGTTTCTAACAATAGTGGCAGTCTAAATGAATAGCGCAGCTAAACCACTTTTCGTTTCTTTTTGTGCTTGATAAGTCCCTGTTTGCTTAAATTTACTAATGCAGACTCCGTTCTACATTCTATGATAAGTTAGAAGTTTGGCACTCACGGGAAGTCGAAGAATTTGGAGGATAGAGACGAAGTAAAAGTCACAACGATTTTAAGGACAGAGGACTGCGCGCCGAGACGAAAGCTGCTATTTCCTTTGAAACGTAAAGTACACATTACTAGTTACACCATTAAAATGCGAGATTAACGTCAAAAAGCAGTGTCTCTCCCTCCTCACTGAGACTCCCGAAACTGAGTTTACTAAAATGCATAACAGAGCTATTTAGTTATTATAAAGCGTAATTTATCAAGAGTAATAGCGCATAATCAATCGACTAACTTTTCAAAGACCTTATAATGTAGGAACGTAACCTGAAAACCCAAGTTTCGGCAATGGACTTCCTCTCTCATGGGTTATACATCTGACAAGCAGTGCTATGAAGCAATTCAAATATGTAGGCGCTTTCGAAACTACCAAAAGAATTTGAGGTT